GGAACTCAACATGTCTAAAATTTATCTTCCTCCATGTTTCCCACTTCTGCTGTATTTCCAGTTTCAGGTACTGGCATTTCAATCCATCAAGTGGGTCTACTTAAAAGCCGAGGGGTCATTCTTGAGCACTTTTTCTACCTGCTCACCCAATTATCTATTCCTTAAGTTTCTTGCTTCTTTGTTGTCTCTCTAAACTGTTTTCTGCAGATTCAGGTTTTTATCATTCCTCTCTTGAATAGTGGAAGCAACCTACCTTCACATTCTCTACTGCCAGTTCCAGTCACCTCAAATTCATGTGTCTATTGCTACTACAGTGGGCTTTCATAAGTGCAAGTATAATCATATTGTTACAGGGCAGGGAGAGGGGCAGCCCAAACCCCGCAAACCTGCCTATTCTAAATGGGTTCTGCCATCCGCCGCATCAACACAAAACATAGGAGACTTTAATGGGAAGGAACTTTAATACAATTTAGAAACAATACAGGAAAGGCAAAGAATTTAACTTCAAAATCAAGCACCCAAAGTTGCCCGTCCCCTCATGGGTTAAACTCCATCCAAATGGGATTGGCCCAGAGGAAGGCCCCAAAGCCTGCCACAAGTCTAAAGCATCTTCCAGTGGGGACCCACAGAAAAGGGTCAGAAACAACCAGACCAGCCCGGAAGGAAAAGAGCAAAATTAAAATCAAGATAAAAGCTGCCATTGTCACCTCCTCATGGGTCTTACCCACATATGTGTCACCCAGTCCACTACCAAAAGACAAGTGCAGTTTCTTTACGTGTCTCTCGGCCCCATGTGCCTCCTCCAGGTCTCCTTCTGGCTCCATCCTGCTTCCTTCCTTCCTCAGTCTCCTCTGCAGCTTCTTCTCTTCCTGCTCAGCTCCACCCTCCCTTGGGTGGGGCAGGGAACCTGGAACCTCCCCCTTTCCTGGGGACCACCCTGTTACAATATCACTTATGCTTGTGGCACCATGCTGCCACCAAGGTAGCATTCAAACTTTATGTGATCATGTAAAAAGCCATCATCTAACTGCATATCTCAACTTCCATTAATCCATCCACCTATTCTTTCAACAAAGACCCCACTCCAATTTTAGATGCTGTGCTAGATAGACACTTGGGTTACAAAAAAGGGATGCAGTGGCAACGGCCTTTCCTTGTCTAATAGGAGAGAGAAAAAATAAATAATTACAATTTAGCAGGATGCTTCTTTGATAAGGGAAGTTCAGGGTGCTCCAGGACCTCAGAGGAAGAGCAAGGAGGTTTCACAGAGGATATGATGGCTGAATAGGACTCAACCAAGAGAAAAGTTGCGTGCAGAGGGAGGCACAGAGACTGTCATATGAAGACCTGGAAGAAAGAGAAACCAGTGCATTTTAGAAATTATGACTGAAATGCAGTGTTCTAAGAGACATGTGGTGAAACAGGTATGCAGACAGCCCATAAGCCATTATAAGCCATAGAAGTATAAATCCTATAAGCCCTTATAAACCATAAGGATGAGTATAAACTTAATTCTGATGGGAATAAGAAGTACTAAAAGGGGCCTCCCCTGGTGGCGTAGGCGGTTGAGCGCAGTGCTGTGAAGCTGTCCACAGCCTCTGCAGCGCCGGTTCGATCCTGGCCAGCCAGTGAGGGTCCCACATGGCGCGGCAGAACTCTCCTGTCTGGCCTGCTGCTCCCCTCAGCAGTGTGTTTAGTCGATCTACCGGTTCTGTTTCCCGCTCTATCTCTGGTGAATCCCCTCACTCTCGCGCATCTGGCCTGTATTCCAGTTCTTGTATAAATAAATCTTAAAAAAAAAAAAAAAACTACTAAAGCGCTTGAGGTGGGAGAAGAATAAACATATTCCATTTTCAAAAGCCCTATACCTCTTGTGGGGGAGTGAATTATGTGGGAGAACTTGAAGATAGGAAAAGCTTTGCGATAATTTAGGTGAAAGGCATGGCAGGAAAGATGGAATCCAGAGGGTAGATTTGAGTGATTTTAGAGGGTAGAATCAAAACTACTTGGTGAATGATTGAGTGGATGTGGCGGGAAAATATGACGAAGCCAAGTTTATGGCTACTCTGCCCTTCTTTCTGTTCCTGGAAACTATCAAGCAATTTCGTGTCTTCAGACTGTGTACTTGGTCCTCTCTGCCAACCCCAGCTCATTACATGGTTGACATCTCTGCATTCAGATCTCAACGCAAAATTAGCAAATTAAACCTGCCTTTCTTTCTTATCCTTCAAATACTCAGTGGTACCCACCTGCCAGGCATTCTCTAACATTTCCATGTTCTATTTTTTTCTGTCACTTATCACTATTATCTTATTTTACAGGTTTCCCCTGCTATCTGAAAGTAGCAGATTCCTATTTGATATGATATGGTAGGCTCTATTTTGGGTCTGGAAATACTATTACCATTACTCCATATGGAAAAAATTTTGAGCATTATCACCTCGTCTGTTTTCCCACAGGAGAGAAGCAAGTTGAGGGCATCATGTCTTCCAAACATCTAGCCAAACAGACAGAGGATGTTAAATGTTTAGCTGGGTCACCAGGAGCTTGCTAAAATGCAGAATCTTGGCCCTCCTCCCAGACAGAAGGAATCGGAATCTGTATTTAGCAAGGTCTCCAGGTAATTTGTTCTCCCATTAAAACTTGAGGAGCTGGGCCTCCCCGGTGGCGCAATGGTTGAGCGCTGGGTTGCGAAGCTGCCCGCAGCCTCTGCGACGCCGGTTCGATCCCCGGCTGCTCCCCGGCCACCAGAGGAGGGTCCCACATGGCGCACAGACCTCTCCTGCCGCCCGCTGCTCCCCTCAGCAGTGTACTTCGGTCCTTCTGCCTGCTCTGCTCCCCGCTCTGGTGAATTCTCTCACCCTCCCGCGCTTCTGACTGTACCCAGTGCTTGTATAAATAAATAAAATAAAAAATAAATCTTTAAAAAAAAAAAAAAAAAAAAAAAAAAAAAAAACTTGAGGAGCTACTTCAGTGATGATAATATACAGCCTAAATTAACTAGGAGGCTTATAGGGATCCACAAGGAAAGGCATATGTGATAAAGAAAAGGTGCTAGGAACCTCACAAACCTGGCTGGAATTTTTATATCAGTTACAACACTTAAATGATTGTTGCAAAATAACAAATATGAAAGGTCTGGTATGTGGTAAAAGCTGAATAAATCATTGTCTCTCTCCCCTGGAAGATTCCAGCACTGGTAACTAGGAGACCTGACCTCTAGTGCTGGCATTTTCACCAGCTCACTAAATCATGGAACCAAGAGTTGGAAGGAACCTTTATATAGAAACCAGTTCTCTTAGCAGCCTTGTGTTATAGTGTAGCACATAACTAGACTGGAGATCAAGTCTTCTGAGTTCTCTGACATTTATAAAATTTAGGAAAATAACACACCCTTTCTAACTTCCCTCACAGGTGGCATCTAATCTTACACAAGTATGCAAGAACCTCTTTGTAAGTGCAGGTCATAATTATTGTTGCTTTTAAATTCTAGATTATATTACACAGGTTGGGATTTGTAAGGTTTCCTCTATCAAGCAAGTTAGAGTAGACGCATATCTACCAACATCTTTCTAAACTCTTATCTTTGAGAAAGGATAGAGCTGGGAGGAACTGCTGTTGTAAGTGATAATTATGATAATCACATGATCCTTAAATCACATAAGTTTCCTTATAAGAAACTTAATTTAAGCCTCAGCAGATAAATTGCTTGTTTCAATCAAAACAAAACTCTAAAAGAAATAAAAAGCTTTTCTATGTACTAAACAGTTGAAGAGATTTACTCCCATGGGGTGCAGAAAGGAAAGTTTAGGAAATGTCTTCTCTTTTAATGACCTTAGTGATGGAGTAAATAATAGATTTATAAGAAAAGGAAATGAGTGGATTTCTGGATTAGGTCTGAGTGGAAGGGTGAAAGAAAACAAAAAGGTCCCTTTCTCTCCTTCATATAGCAGTTTATGTATACATCTACAGGGCTTCCGTGACTTGAATGTGTCACTCCTCCTCTGGTTTTGTTAGTTTCTACTTCCAGAGTATCTTCTTCCCTAAAGAGAAGGTAAGTTTTCAGCACTCTCAGGGGAGAGGGCCAGTTTATTCTGGAATGGGGCTGGAAGTTGGGCCAGGAGCAGAACCAAGAAGCCTGGGTGTTTGTTCTGCCACTGACCGGGAGTTCACTTGCCATCTGACTTCAGGTTTCCTCCCAAATAGGAGGTTGCACTAAATAGTTTTTAATTGTAAAAATCTTACTGTGCAGCGACCTCGGCACTAGCAGGTCTAAGCACAGATAGACTGCGAAGGAAAATAGGCAGTGGGAAGAAGAAATGGAGAGTGAGAGTTATAAAAGGTTGGGAATAGAGGAGAGTAGTTCTCCGGGTAAAAATGAGCTGGTGGGGATGGAGAGCAAAAGTTTAATTTCTACTTCATCGCTTTTATCTCCACCATCCAGCTTGCCTTCAGAAAACACACCTGATGCAGCCTAACCGCATGACGCTTTGTCCTGTTAATCGTTTTGAGTGAAGTTTGATTCAAACCCATCATTGCTTAGCACACTTTGGCTTCAGAAAATCGCCAACCAAATACCCAAGGTGACCTCTGTATTTTGTTTTCCTGTTTGGCCTCATAGGCTTTCAGGTCAATAACTTAGTGTTGGTCAATAGATGGAGGACGGTCGGGGAACGGCGAGGGGCGGCGCGGGGCCGGGTGGACGGACTGCATTTCCCAGCCTCCGTCGCCATGGCCACGCCCCACGCCGCCGAGGCTCTGCCCCTCTCGCTCCGGGCTGCGGGGCTCGGCGGACGGACTGCATTTCCCAGCTTCCATCGCGCTGGCCCCGCCCCCACGCCCGAGGCCCCGCCCCTCTCGCTCCGGGCTGCTGGGCCCGGCGCCCGCCTGACTTCCCAGCGGCCCCGTGCGGCCCGGGCATGCCCAGTGCGGGCGCACCGGCCCCGGCCCTGGGAGCGCCCGGGCGGGAGCGGGCGGCCGGGCGCGGAGGATCCGAGCGGGCCCGCGGTGGGCCTGGGGCCGGTGGGCTGGAGCCGGAGACGCAGCCGCGGCGGCGGAGCTGCCGGGTAGGTGCGGGCTCAGCGGAGCCGGGCCACCGGGGCCGCGCTGGGCGCGCGCGGCAGGGCCCGGGGCGCAGCGGCAGAGAGGGCTGGCAGGGCCCGGCGCGGGTTTGTGAGGCTCGGGGCCGGGGCTGCGGGAGGGGAGCTTGGCCGCGGGCGCTGCGGGAGTGGCGTCACGCCGGAGCGCGGGGTGCGGCCCGGGCGACCCTGCCCCGGGGCCGGCGCGGCTCCCCGGCTGGCGGTGCGCGGGTGCGAGCGGGCTCCGCACCTCGTGCGCTGCGGTGGTTGCGGGGGGAGGCTGGCGCTTCCTCTCGGAAATTGCCGGGGAGCTGCGGGAAAGACCCGTCCGGGCGGACCCGTGAACTCGGGAGTCGGTCGGTGGCGCCCCAGCGAGAAGTGAGGATGATTACCTGTTCTGCACCTGGGTAAGACAGGGAGGCGACAGCTCCCTGCTTTTCAGACCTGGGTGAATGACTTAGAAATGAAGGTACACGACGGTGCCTTCGTGGATGCTTAATGAGCTCTAATGACTGTTGGGAATTTAATGACCAGCTGTATGTCCAGGTTATTTGTCCGTGGGATACTCCGGTTAAACAAAATTACTCGTTGCAAAGCATGAGTAGAAAGAAGCCCTGACTGAGGATTAGAACACCACCAGGGTTTGGAAGTTCGCTGGAGCCCTTCATTGGGGCAGTCTTGGGCTAGCCATTTAACTTCGGAGACTCAGTTGCTCCTTTTGTAAAATGATGTGAACCAGATGCATCTTGATTTCCTTCCAGCCCTCTTGTAAGGTTCCCCCAGTGTTATCTCCCTGTGTTATTTAGTTTTTGTGTGGTCTCATATTATGGGGAGTTACTTTTCTCCATGCTTCAGCTTTGTGTCAAATTGGGTAGTTCACCAAATATTTCTGTAGGAAGGTTCCTAGGATATTTGCATTGCATTGAAATGACTTGTCCTTCAAAGGTCACTGTAGGTGAGTAGGTAACCTGTCACTTGGTCCATGCAGAAGCCAGGTGTTAATGGCTATGGTTCAGATAACACAGCTGTCCTACTGGGCATGCTGCAAGCTCCCTGACTGGGTGGCCTGTGAGAAATCCAGACTAATGGTTTCCTTCAGCTCCCAAAAGAACTCATTCTCTAGTGGATATACGTTTTGTAGAAACATTTTTATTTTCATGTTATTACACTTTATACTCAAATCTTACGGAGATTTATTCACTACCCTTAATTTGTAGATGAGGAAGTAGTTAAGAGTAGATTCACAATAGTCTTTATAGCTTAGGGTCTTATGTGTCATTGAGCATTTGGTATTCACCTGGCACTGAGTTAGCCTATCATTGTTGGGAGGTGGGGGCTAGCTTGTTTGGTTTTTTTTTTAAGCTTGTTTGTTTTTAAGTGGGAGTAGTATTAACAGAAGTTTCTTATCTTAGAAACTTCTCTATTAGAAGCCAGTGCATCTATGTAGGATTGACCTAAGGAGCAGATGGTCCATTCGGTGTTGTGCAAATGGCCTTCCTGCTGCTCTAGTCTCTGCCCTCCTGGTTCTAAGTGGCAGAACTCCAGATGGGTCAATAAGGTTCAGCTTGGTGAAGTGGTTACAGGTCAGGGAAAACATGCTCAGGTTTTGAAATATGAAGTTTGTACAAGGTGCCTGTGGAATTCTGTCATATGGTAATCACACCTCTTAAACTGATAGTACCCTAGATTGACTTGATGGGGGTTGAAATTTAGAATCTCAGGTTCTTTTTTTTTTTTTTTTTTTTTATAGAGGCATGCTTTATTTATTTGTTTGCTGGTTTCTTTGTTTGTTTTGTTTATACATGCACTGGGTACAGTCAGAAGCGCGGGAGGGCGAGAGAATTCACCAGAGCCAGAGCGGGGAGCAGAGCAGGCAGAAGGACCGAAGTACACTGCTGAGGGGAGCAGCGGGCGGCAGGAGAGGTCTGCGCGCCATGTGGGACCCTCCTCCGGTGGCCGGGGAGCAGCCGGGGATCGAACCGGCGCCGCAGAGGCCGCGCGCAGCTTCGCAACCCAGCGCTCAACCGCTGCGCCACCGGGGAGGCCCTAGAATCTCAGGTTCTTAATAAGATTTCTGAAATTGGTGTTTGTTCTCTTTAAAAACATTCAATGGGAAGATAGTATTTTAATAATAATAATAATCATGAACTTTCAAGTTCTTAGTTTTTGAATTATTCCTCATTCACTTCAGAAATAAAATGAGAAAACTATACCTGTGAGCTTCTTTTGGCCTAGTTTTAATATCCATTGTTTTTTGCATGCTTATGACAATTGTGTGTGTGTGTGTCTTTAAAAGTTGGAAAACGTAGGGACACTTATTTGGAGGTCTTGGGCAATTTCATATAGTATCTTTTACATCATACCTGTGAGCTAGAGAACTTTGTGTATGAAATGCATATTCAGTAGTTTTTGTTAGAACTTTCATCTTGCTCTTATATTTTCATTCACGTGTTTGAGGAGGCTATATAGCAAGCATAAATCGCTTAAGAAGTTATTGAAATGTAATTATTACCCATCTCCATATCCTCAAAAGTACTTGGAAAGTGTGGGAGGGTTAGTTAGGGACATGAAGATGCAGAGACTACTGCTGCAAGAGACATTGACCCATGTAAAAAAGTGAAAAGGTAGTAAATGATTAAGTATGGATTTCAGGTTTCAGTAGTTATAATTATAACCACATGTTCAGCAGCCTGGAAGCTGCTTTAGTTCACTGTGTTTGTATCTGCGTAAGGGCTAGCATCCACTGCATTCCTATTAGAGATGTAAGTATGTGGAAAATGTCATCGTGTAGAAATGCACACAACGTAGCTTATCTCTAAGATAAATAATTTTTCTCCATTTGTTTCTAGGTCCTTCATGATGAAAGTTCTGGGGACACTCCTCTCTCCTCTGTGTAATTGGTAGCTTGGGTGGTGAAGAGATGGCTGACAGTGTCAAAACCTTTCTGCAGGACCTTGGCAGGGTGAGTACATCAAGTCATTTCTTGATCTTTTTTTTTTTTTTAAAGAAGATAGATGGTCTTTTTTTTTTTTTTTTTTATAGAGGCATGTTTTTATTTATTTATTTATTTATTTGATTTGTTTTTGTTTTGTTTATACATGCACTGGGTACAGTCAGAAGCGCGGGAGGGTGAGAGAATTCACCAGAGCCAGAGCAGGGAGCAGAGCAGGCAGAAGGACCGAAGTACACTGCTGAGGGGAGCAGCGGGCGGCAGGAGAGGTCTGCGCGCCATGTGGGACCCTCCTCCGGTGGCCGGGGAGCAGCCGGGGATCGAACCGGCGCCGCAGAGGCCGCGGGCAGCTTCGCAACCCAGCGCTCAACCGCTGCGCCACCGGGGAGGCCCCGTTTCTTGATCTTTTTGCTTTAGAAACTGATGAGGATATTCTTTAGGTGTTTTTGGAATTTTTATCAACCTTGTTATGTCCTTTGCATACAGTTCTTTAATCATCCTACTCAAGAGATAGCTAATAGTCTCCACCTTGCAGAAGCTTGGGTCCAGTGAATGTCTCTGGTATGAGAACCTGGTCAGCCCGGCTTCAGGGCCTTTGTTGTTGTTAGCTTTATAATTTTGGACTTACAGGAAAGTTATAGGTACAGTAGTATAGAGAGTTCCTCTGTATCCTCACCAGGTTCCCCTAATGTTACCATCTTATATATCTGTGGTATACCAGTCAAAACTAAGTAATGGACTTTGGTACAATAATCTTCTTTATTCACTTTACAGAAATATTATATTTTCCTATACTGTGCAAAAATGTCCCATAAAGATCTGTTTAGGACCTAGTTACCCAAATGACCAGTAGCACAAAATTCCCGTGGATGTCTGAGGTCTCTTATTCTAGTTGTGGTCCCTGTAGCTATGTTTGCAGGAGCAAGAGAGAGACCGGTTCAGATGGTGGGGGTCCTTCCCATAATGGGGATGTTTTAAGTTTATTATCTTTGAGTAAGAGAGGGAATTCAAGAAGTATCTCAGAAGAGCCAGAAACTTCATGTACACCTGTGGGTCACACATTTCATACCTATACCTGCTCATCTGGCCATTCTTGTGTTATAAAATTTGAACCCTGGAGCTTCCAGGCTGCTGAACATGTGGAGATTTGGGGAGAATGGCATGCCTAGAGAGGGCATGATGTTTCCATGTCTTTTCCCCATGCCTCACCCTCTGTATCTCTTCCATATAACTGTTCCTTAGTGCTATCATTTGTTCTATCACCAATAAATTGGTGATTTAGTAAGTACAAAGATAAGATAAATTCAACCCTAAATCGCTTCTGTGGTGTGCTGTTTACATGTGTACTTACCCCACTCCACTGTATCTCAGAGGAGGGGGACTCCTGTCATCATTTATACACATACCAGGCCCTCAGCCATTGAACTTAATTAACTTAAATATTTAAACTATTTGTGAAAAATTTATAAGTCAAAACCAAAATAAGACTAAAAATTACTCATAGATAAAAGATCAATTGTGCCTATTTGTGCTCCTATCCATAGGTAGTCCGTAAACTTGCCCATTTCTCTGTATCCTGGCGATTGTCGCTAAAATTTACTTTGACTAATGACAATAGATGGAACTATCATTCTTAAATATAGTGTGGCTGTTCTTTTCCAAATTTGTTTGTTGTTGTTGTTCCTCCTCATCATGAAGTTAAATACCCTTTTGCTACCATTCTGTTTTGAATATACAACTGTTATGCTGCTTCTTATTCTTATACCACATTATTTGTTGTGTACTTTCCCTACTGAGTTATCCATCTCTTGAACATTCCTGTATGACTAATGTCTGGTTCATTGCAGATGCTCAGTAAGTAGGTGGATGGCTGGATGAATGAATGCAGATCTTTGAACTGGGTGATAAGCAATTCTGGTGTCTGTAACACCAACAGTAATCTTTGTGCTGGCCTCCCTGGTGGCGCAAGGGGTTAAGTTGCAGCACTATGAAGCTATCCACAGCATGAATTTGACCCCCAGCCAGGGATCTAATGCACATGGTGCAGCAGACCTCTCCTGTCTCACCCGCTGTTCCCCTCAGCAGTGTGTTTCAGTCAGTCTGCCTGCTCTGCTCCCCACTCTGTCTCTGGTGAATCCTCTCACCCCCTAATCCCAGCCATCGTCTGCATAAAAAAAGAAATCCTTTTTTTTTTAAAGATCTATTTATTTATGCATACAAAAACTGGGGTACAGGCCAGAAGTGCCAGGGGTAAGAAGATTCATCAGAGACAGAGTGGGGAGCAGACAGGCGGATCTACAGAAATACACTGCTGAGGGGAGAAGCGGATGAGATAGGCGAGGTCTGTTGCTCCATATGTGTCAGCTCCCTGACCTGGGATTGAACTCGTGCTGTACTGACTGTGGATAGCTTCATAGTGCTGAGACTTAACCCCTTGCGCCACCAAGGAGGCACAAATAAAATAAATCTTTAAAAAAAAATCTTTGTGCTTTTGGAGCTCTTCACATATGGTTGGCAAATGCCTCTGACACTGTCTTGATAGACAATAACCCTGTACCCTGTTATATACTCTGAGGACATTCTCTCCTCCAGCTATACTACCATGTTGTCTTACGTGGTGTGATTTTATCCTACAACTTTTCACATTTTACAGTAATCATTTCTTTGTGTCTTTCTCCAATTTGGTGTAGCCCTGCTCCTTCATAGAGACCAGTGTTTAATTTGTCCTTGTATCACTGTAGTTTAGGACAAGATGTAAGGCATGCTGTAGGCATTTGACTACTGAAAGAATATAGGGGAGAACAATAACTTTACCTTAATAGTATTCAAGTGTGGAAGTTGGAAAACCATTATGTTGCAGCCATGTTAGGTGGGTAGAATTGGTCTGGATGAGAGCTGTCAATGGATGCTAAGTCTAGGGGACAGAACTTGATGAGCAGGATATTTGAATGATCTCAGAGGTATCTGCCCACAACCTGCTTATTAATTGCAAGGAGAAAAACTTAACAACTATACAGTGGAAGCCGTAACTGCTTGTCTGAGTGTGACAAGTTAATATCACCAGCTAGGGCAGACAGACATGTGCCTCTGGATATAGTGTCTGGAAGGACATCACTTCTGTGATAGTCCTACCAAAATTGCCTAAACTGGGCCTGATCATAAGGAAACACCCTGGAATAGAGGGAATACTATAACATTGTTCGGGAGCTGTTACTGATTATAAAGAGACCTGACAGCCAAGTGCCATATGTGATTCTGAACTGAATTCTTATATTTGAGGGATAAAAATGCTGTGGAAAACATCATTGGGACTAATGGAAAAATTAAAATAATGTGAACTGTTGATTAAAATATTCTAATAAATTTCTTGATAACTATCTTATGGTCATACAAGAGAATTTCACTTTTGTTAGGAAATAAAGACTGAAGAATTAAAAGCAAAGGGACATAATGTAATAACCTCATGAATCATAATACATGTGTATATAATTTGTACATTTAAAATGATAAACAGTGTGGCAAAATACTACTTTGTGGAATTTGGAGAGAGGATATTTAGAAGTTCTCCATTCTTGTCACTCTTCTGTAAATTGGGCATTATTTAAAATAAAAATCAAGACTCCCTTAAACAATGTAGCAAAAGAAGTACATTGGTTTCCACTGTTATTTTGCTTTGCTGTATATATGTACCTTTGGAAAGTCTTCTCTGATCTATAATCTTTCCTTTTTAAACAATATTTTTGTCTATAGGGAATCAAAGACTCCATCTGGGGAATTTGTACCATCTCAAAACTAGATGCTCGAATTCAGCAAAAGAGAGAGGAGCAGCGTCGAAGAAGGGCAAGTAGTGTCCTGGCGCAGAGGAGAGCCCAGAGTATTGAGAGGAAGCAGGAAAGGTAAGGAGCAGAGTCTCTGCGGAACATGTCCCAGGGAGGCCCACATCAGGAAGAGACTGCTCTGTAGCAAAGAAGGATCGGAGAAGATCCTACAGAATAGAATTTCAGTTCCCCATTACTTGTTTTTTATACTTTTGCCCTCTAAGATGTAGGAGGGATCTTTGTCCCTCCTCCACATTGAATTAAACTGGAATGTAACAATAATAATTTGTTACGGGAATGTAACAATAATTTGCTCAAAATTGTTGCTTGAAAAAGATCAGAATGGTGGGCCTCCCTGATGGCGCAAGGGGTTAAGCACTGCACTATGAGGCAGTCCACAGCCTCTACAGCATGAGTTCAATCCCCCGGCCAGCCAGGGAGCAACCCACATGGTGAGGCAGAACTCTCCTGACTTGCCCGCTGCTCCCCTCAGCAGTGTATTTCAGTCAGTCAGTCTGCCTGTTCTGTTCCCCACTCTGTCTTTGGTGAGTCCTCTCACCCCCCACACCTCTGACCTATGCCCCAGCTCTTGTATGCATAAATAAATAAATCTTTAAAAAAAAAAACAAATACCAGAATGGTGAATGGAGGGCTACAAAAAAATTATCAACTGATGGACACTTCTAGGAGAAGCTATGTAGATGTATTTCCTGATAGAGCCTTAGACTTCCTCTTACTCTTCAATCTTGGATTTTAGAAAATATATTTTTTCCTTTTTATGAAAACTCCACAGAAATATCTTTAGCCGTTTCTCATTGACATTAGAACAGTGGGAAGAAAAATTGGCTGGATAAATAATACAAATAAAAGATATAAAATGGCGAACTACTGTATGACAATATGGAAATAGCCTATACTCCTTATAAACTAAACACATGTGGTCTTTTCTAGTGAGCCCCGTATTGTTAGTAGGATTTTCCAGTGTTGCGCTTGGAATGGTGGCGTATTCTGGGTAAGTTTTTTTCCCTCATATTCTGGGTGCCTTATTAGCATCTTCAGATTGTTGCTATGTCAATAGTTCTCAACTGTTTTGTTGAAACTGGGACAAGTAGCTTTCACCTGCTGACCTATGGTTAATACCATAACTCAGCATTCTGTGCGCCTTTAATCATTTTATTCCCAGAGAATACTTGTATATAAATGTTAAGAGTGGGCCTCCCCAGTGGCCTAGGGGTTAACTCTCAGCGCTATCACCTCTACAACTTGAGTTCAATCCCCAGGCAGGGAGCTAACCCACATATGGTGCAGCAATCCTATCCTGTCTCGCTCACTGCACCCCTTAGCAGAGTATTTCAGTAAATCTGCCTGCTCTGCTCCTTTTTCTGTCTCTGGGGAATCCTGGGGTGCCATCTTAAAAGAGAAAGTCAGGAGTGCCCTGAGTATATACTTTTATTTTTTTAATGATTTATTTACAACTTTTAATGTGATAGGTAGCAGTTTCTCTTGACATTGTCTGCACGTTTTAACTAAGGACAGCTATGGGGGAGGAATAGGGAAGGACAGTTGGGCAAGGGCAAGGTTCTTCCTGCATCTACTCAGAGCCAGCTATCTGAATTGATTACTACTGAAACCCATACCAGAAAAGGTTGCCTACAGTTAACCAAGGACCCTCACAGGCTTAAGTGAGAGTTAAGTACTTTGAAAGCACGTTATTAAATATTTCCTTTGACTTGGAAATCAGTAAAATTCAACTTGTTTTAATCTAAACATTTCACATATGTTTTCAGATGTTAGCCTTAACTTACAGAATATTACAGTGTACTGTGAATATATTTTGGCTTAAGTAGTATTTGAAATGTTCTTCTGTGCCTCCCAGAGTTTTATAGGCAGTGTCAGATTTGTACCTCTCAGCTGGGGTATTGGGAAACAGACATGGATCTGATTTTCGTGCCACTTTGTATCTGATTTATAAAAGGCGCCTGCAATGGGAAAATAATTAGTTCTCTGAAACTTGTAACTCTTGTTTTAAAGTAGGATATTTAAAGTTTACCTTATTGCTTCTGTCCTTTAGTTCAGTCTGCTCTTGTTTTATCGAGTGTTTATTCCTGTGCTTCAGTCAGTAACAGCCCAAATTATTGGTAAGTATGTACATTGTTCTGTGGTTTCTGCCTGAATGAAGGTGGGAGGTGTTTTTCTCAGGGAAACATGCTATGTACCAGGAACTTTTTAAGCTTTTTAAAAAGCTTTTTAGCTTTTTAACAAATGTCTCAACTCGAGAGGCTACAGTTATGTATATCATTTTATGGATGAGCAAATGGAAGTTAGTTACCAAGGTCAAACTAATAGTAAGTGACACAGCTGGGATTTAAACCTAGGTGCTTTCCTGCAAATTGTGTACAGTTAATCCCTGTGGCATCTCAGTCAGCCACCAAGCAAGCAGATTTGTCTCAAGGTAAACAGCACAAATCTATGGCCACTCTAAATTGGAGTTGTGGCCAGAATTATATATGTCCCCAAAGAAAAAAAGACTATTTGAAATAGGTGTAGTATATGCTGGCAAGAAACAAAGGTGTTGGAGATGTTGGGGACAGAAGAGTCACAAACTAGGGGTTCCATATTTGGTCCTCTGGTTTTTCATTTCTCCAGTTAAACTCATAACTTTTCCTCTTTCTCAGGTGATCCATCACTACATGGAGATGTTTGGTCTTGGCTGGAATTCTTCCTTACGTCAATTTTCAGTGCTCTCTGGGTGCTCCCCCTGTTTGTGCTTAGCAAAGTTGTGAATGCGATCTGGTTTCAAGTAGGTCCAGGACAGAATGGAGTCTGGGCCTTATGACATGCTGGGTTGACAGGTGGCAGGTTTCAGCCTATGAAGGGAGTGATTTTATAACGTTAAGCTTTCTTAGTCAGGCAGCCAGTGGGTGATCTTTGTGCTCTTATAGAATTACTGTCTCAGGTCACCAGAGCATCTCATTGCCAAATATCCTGGGGCTTTTCTCACCCGGCAGGTCTACTGGGAGATCAGTGACCTTAGCTTTGGGGTGGATATTGAGGCAATTTAATTCATGTTTTGGTGAGCTACTTTCTCTGTTACAGGACATAGCTGATCTGGCATTTGAGGTATCAGGGAGGAAGCCTCACCCATTCCCTAGTGTCAGCAAGATAATTGCTGACATGCTCTTCAACCTTTTGCTGCAGGCTCTTTTCCTCATCCAGGTGAGACTGGCCTTCTGTGTACCAGCAGATTTTTAAAAATTTAGCAGGGGTGTCTTCACAAGGACAGGGTATTCTATTTACACTGAAGCTGATATGCTTTATGGGAGGTAATGATTTTTTTTAAGTCGTTTTTTCACAGAAACAACTAGAGAAGTTAAAAATCACAAAATGATAAGAAACATGAATTTACCTACTCTTCCCTGCCACCCTGGGAATTCTCTGCTCTCCTGTTATTCAGAAACATGAGAAGCAACTTTGAGGCTATCTAGGCAGAGAGAGATGACTCAGTGGCAGGTGGGTAGTGTGAGGACTCTGAAGCTTTAGAATTAAGATTTTCCATATTTGTTCTTTAGGGGATGTTTGTGAGTCTCTTTCCCATCCATCTTGTTGGTCAGCTGGTTAGTCTTCTCCATATGTCCCTTCTCTACTCGCTATACTGCTTCGAATATCGTTGGTTCAATAAAGGTAAGTCTGTATAAAGAAACTCAGAACTTGGAGGCCCAACTGGGAAATGCTTCTGTTAAGTAGACAACTTGAACTAGTCAATACTTAGGTCCTCGGCAAAACATCTTTGGATGAAAGTAACCTCTTTGGCAAAGAGGACTTACTTTTGCCTTAGGAGGTTTAATCCTTAGCTGTGAGGCTAGGGAATATAGTAATGTAGCAGTGCCTATATGGTGCGTAATGTGATGTGTCTCTGATTGAGCCATAAAAAGGCATAAGTGAGCATGAATTATTCTGAATTAGAAATTAAATTGACATCATTACATTCAGATTCTTTTGGCAATATTTTAAAGCTCTTGGCATATTTGTCTAGGTGTGTATTGTTCAATGGGGTTAACTGATTTTTTTTTTTTCATTTTTTGCTTTATTTTGGGGGTTAACTGATTTCTGCAGGATGACTGCCTTTTCCTTTGATATCTTCCTTTGTTAAAGATTAATCCTGACAAGGATGTCTGTGTTGTAATTCATAATTCACTTAGTGTGCCAGCTTTGAAATTGTGATTACTGAGTTGTAAAAACTTTGCATGGAAGCTTTATGTCAGGTTTACACAGTTACAGCTGCGTTCTGCCTGGTCGATCTTTATCTGAGATCCAAGCCTCCAGTAGTTTGTCTGAAATATTTAGTCATTGACTAAAACAAAATATGCAATCTTACTGTTTTGGCTCCCTTATTTTAGGAATTGAAATGCACCAGCGGTTGTCAAATATTGAAAGGAATTGGCCTTACTACTTTGGATTTGGTTTGCCATTGGCTTTCCTCACAGCAATGCAGTCCTCATACATTATCAGGTAATTTGGTTAGGGAACTTAAAGGGGACCTTTAAAAATAAAGATTCAATTAAGGAACACCTTCTGTGTGCCTGGTTCTTGCTAGACACTCTAATCCTTTTTTTTTTTTTTTTAAGTTTTTTTTTTTTTTTTTTTTTTTTTATAGAGGCATGTTTTCTTTCTTTCTTTCTTTATTTGTTTGTTTGTTTGTTTGTTTATACATGCACTGGGTACAGTCAGAAGTGCGGGAGGGTGAGAGAATTCACCAGAGCCAGAGCGGGGAGCAGAGCAGGCAGAAGGACCGAAGTACACTGCTGAGGGGAGCAGCGGGCGGCAGGAGAGGTCTGCGCGCCATGCGGGACCCTCCTCCGGTGGCCGGGAAGCAGCCGGGGATCGAACCGGCGCCGCAGAGGCCGCGGGCAGCTTCGCAACCCAGCGCTCAACCGCTGCGCCACCGGGGAGGCCCTAGACACTCTAATTCTTATTTAGTCTTCTGGAGATCTACAGGGTTTTTCTCCTTGTCAGCCTAATTTGTCAGATAACATTACAATCTCTTCTGCATGATCCAGTATGTTATATTCTTTTTTTATATTGTCTCTTGGAGCAGTTTTTTTTCCCCTGGGAATTTTTTTTTTTTTTTTAAGATTTATTTATGCGTACAAGAGCTGGGGTGTAGGCCAGAGGTGCGGGGGGTAGGGGAGGTGAGATGATTCACCAGAGACAGAGTGGGGAGCAGAACAGGCAGATTGATTGAAATACACTGCTGAGGGGAGCAATGGGCGAGACAGGAGTGGTCTGCTGAGCCATGTGGGGCGCCTCCGTGGCCAGGTATCAAACTCATGCTGTAGTAGCTGCAGATTGCTTCACAGTGTGGATGTTTAACCCCTTGCACCACCAGGGAGGCCTCCTGGGGAAGTTTTTAATATAACTAGTGTTTAGAGAAATTTTTTGTTCTTCTTGAAAGGTGTTGGTAATACTAAGATTCTACCAAGCAGTAATGTAAGCACTGGAGGAAAACAATCTCTGGGCTTCTAATATCTTCAAAGTCATGGCTGTTATTAATGTGACTAATGACTCTTTTCTTCATTTTTTTTTCTTAATAGTGGCTGCCTCTTCTCTATCCTGTTCCCTTTATTCATTATCAGCGCCAATGAAGCAAAGACCCCTGGCAAAGCGTAGTAAGTATTAGCCAATGCATAGTACGTTTTTCCATGTAAAGGATTAGCGCTATAATGCCATGATTACATGAATGAGACTTTTTCTTTAAATAACATCTTACATTGCAGGAAAACAATACACAGTTTAATGAGAAGAAAACACTTCTGAGATAGATCACCAAATTTTCCCTATGCATGCATGCACATAAATATGTATGTGCTTCAAAAATCAATGCTATCATACATATTCTTAAAATTTAGCAATTCAGTGACTATAGGCACTTGGAAACTTCTGAAGTTCATTTTTGTATGAAAGGCAAATTTGTGTAAAAAAAACAACAACAGTATTTTGGGTTTTTGCATGCACTAGCTATTCAGCAGTGCTGCATATATATCTTTGTAGATATTATCAACTTGCTCTTGAAACGGAAGCCCATATGACCTATATCTTCAGACCTAGCTTGAAGTTTGGATCCTGCAGTCCGCCATAGAAAAGTACTTATTGAATCAGAAACAATTTAAAATATAACTTTGTCTCCTCTAAGCCCTAGTATTCCAAACAGCAAATCTTTGGCATGCAGAACAGCCACTGGACCCAGTGTGCACTTGAGTTCCTACCTTTTTAATCCATGTGTCTTAATACCTCTGTTTCCTTGGCCACGTTTTAGTTGTCTTATTTTTTCCCTGTGTCATTTTTTTTGAAAGGCAAGTAAGTTGTCACATAACTAAAAGCATAATTTTGATCAACTAAGGATCTCACAAGTTGGGTCTCTTGCCTTTTAGCCTTTTTCAGTTGCGCCTATTCTCCTTGGTGGTTTTCTTAAGCAACAGACTCTTCCACAAGACGGTCTACCTGCAATCTGCCCTGAGTAGCTCAACCTCTGCTGAGAAGCTCCCTTCACCACAACCGTCTCCTGCCAAACCGAAGGCTGCTGCAGGCCACTGAGTCTGCCATCCGGAGGGGAAGGGTGGGATTGGAAGGAGGCTGTGGCAGCTCTATTCCTTGTTCACCTCCCCAGCAGGGAAGGCAGGACCCACTCTGCCAAGGGCCTGCTGCATATTCCCTTCTCTGAGGAATTGGAATTTTTGTCTCTGGTGCATGTAAGGCAGAATCTTCCTGACACCAGTATGTGGATTTTTAATACCAGTGAGTCTAAAGGACCACAGGTTTTTCTGCAGCTCTTTTCTAGCACTTGCCAGCCCCCGTGCCTGGACTGATTTGATTATTTTGTTTTTCTCCCTGTGCCATTTGCCCTCCAGACCACCCCTTCCTGCCTTCCACCACCCTTGGATGAATGGATTTTATAATTCTAGCTGTTGTATTTTGTGGATTGTTATTTTTGTTGTTTTTCTGTGAAGCACATATATTGGATATGGGAGGTACAGGAGTAGCTCAGTTGCTCCTGGTCACTTCCTTTATAGCCATCACTGTCTTGTTTCTTGTAACTCAGGTTAGATTTTGGTCTCCCTTGGTCCACTGCAAAAAACAAGCCTGAAAAGATGGGACAGGAGGAAAGACCTCACAGCCAGATCTGCTGGGTTTTGAGGAGTGATTATTTTTCTTCCTCTTGAAGGGGAATAAAGCTTTTTTCACTGGTATATTTTAAAGTTCCCCAACTCTAGGGAGGTACCAATTTTGGACAAGTGCCACTGCAACACAGAATGCTCAGAGAACCTGAACTTTTGAACTCTGGAGGTCTGGATTCACTGTTGGCCACTGCCAGGGCTGTCTGGTATTTCAAAGGGATATGGGTGCTGCAAATAGGAACTGAAGGGGTAAACTTATTAAACCCATTAAACATGTGATTGGTGTTTTCCTTTCCATTATAAGAGACTGAGTATGGGGGGAAGGGCAGCTGTCAAAGCACTTGTACAATTTTCAAATGTCACAATTAAACATGAGCTGGTTTCCCACAGAGTGTGTAAAGATTGAATTTACAACCATCACCTTAAGAGATGTATTCATGCAACAAGCTATCAGATAACTTGGTTATAGTTTTGAGACATTCATCTTGGAAAAGGTTCCCTAAGGAAGTTTGGATTACGTGATTATAATCATGACAACATCCTGCGAAAGAATGTAGGATTGTTGAGTTACTTGTTTTAAAGTCTAGATACACATCTCTCATGTACATTCCTGAAGGGAGAAAGAGCACTCTAAATTTTAGTGTATTGAATATTCTAATAAGGAGATTTAGACGTTTGGTTAATAGCAACCTTTACTGTGTATGAGACAGAATAAGGATTTTAAAATGACAGCTGGGAGATGTAAGCCAAATTTGAAATGCAAAAGGTTTTAAAATAGTGGGATTTTAGCAGTAGGCATTGTTCCCAGCTTGTGCACAAAAGAGATTGTGAAAGATACAGTATAAAATAAGATTTATTTCCAGTATTCCTCTGAGATGTCTCTGGTCATTTAACAATAGTATTGCAGAGAATTACTTCCAGGTTTCTGTGGGGATGGTTTGAAGACCTAAGTATTTCATCAGCTTGTAACTAGTCATGATTACCTTATTTAAGATTTTTTAAGTTTTGAAAATATCTTAGTTATTTGACCCCATATTTGCTGCCTGAAACTTGTATGTATACCAACTAAACAGGTCTTAGTCACTCTGAGAAGAGGGAGGGAAGAAGGGAGGATGCATGAAGGCTTGCCATGTTACTCAGCACTGTGCTTGACTATGGAAAATGCTTACAGTTTAAGTGACTGGAAGTCTGGAACTTCCGAAGTTTAACTCATGTAATTGAAAGGCCAGGCCCATATAAGGCCGGATTAGGGATATCTACAAAAGAAATTTGGTAATAATTTCAAATGAGGTAAGTATAAACTCTTGCCTAATGTGCTGAGGGCAGTGATTAGGAAATTGAGATCAAAGTAAGAGTAGATCTGTCTTTGCCAAATTGAGAATGGCTTTGAGGCAGACAAATAATCAGTAACTGAAAAAAAAAAAATGAGAGCTTGAGTTTTAATCCATTTAATTTAAGGAGTCCTGTTCACAAAAAGCTCTTTTCAGGGACAGATACTCACAGTTGGACATGTATATGTGATTCAGAACACTTATCCTTTCTAGAGCTGAGTTGTCTGTTATTGAAGAATTAAGATAGTTGATGGAAATGTCAATGGACAGAGTCATGTACTAACTCAATTGCACTTAAGGGCCAAGATTAAAAGGAATTGGGACAAACTGGGACAAATCCAGAAGAGAGCAATTTAATGTTAGAGGTTTGTCAACCACCTTACAAGGATAATATCTGAAAAAAGCTAAAAGGAAACACCTTAAAAGGGATTAAGAGGAAGACTAGTGTTGTCACTAGTATTCATTTTCCATCCACTATTGTTTTCTGATTGTAGAAGTAATATATTTATTTACTTCCGAAAGTTACGTTTACCTGTCTGTTAAGGTTGCTCTGGTAAAGGTTATCAGTTTGTCCGTAATAAAGTGTAATAGGCTACCTAGCAGTTATAGGCTACCTCGCAGTTATCTCACACATGCCCCCGCCCCCCTTTCTGTTATATAACTCACAGAAGTTAAAAGGAAGCTGACTTCATTCAGGTCAGTGTAACTTAGGCCTCTGTAACAATGATAGCCATACAAAAGTGAAATATTTTGGTTAAGTGTATTTATAGGACCAGTATAGGATCCAGTGGGGGCAACAAAAGAGACATGTAACAAGCACTTGAGCGCCTCTTTCAGGATTGGCAAGGCCCTGGGGATTCAAGGGTGAGCCAGAGGTATGATTACTACCCTCGTGGGCCTAACAGTACAGTGCAGGAGAGTCACAAGCAAGTAATCAGACACATTTTTAAAACTTAGTTGTTCAAATAGCTACCAGGGGGAATCTCAAGACTGTATGAAATAGAGGAATTAGAGAATCTTTGAGTAGGATGAAAGATGAGGTCATACATTCAGTCTCCCACTCCTGCTATACTAATTCTCTGACATGAGGTTTGTAGTGCTTTCAGACATACAGTGACTATTTGATTATTTAGATAAGTAGTTCTTAACCAGGGATCAACATCAGAATCAGAAGCTTTCCCAAAACACAACAGACTCTAGAAAATTTAATTCTAGAAACAAAAGGTAACTAAAAATTCTAAATTTTTAGTTAATTTAGTTAAAAATTTAATTACCTAAATTAAAAAAAAATTCTAATTACTAATGTTTGTATTTGCGGACGTGCTGTATCCATAACATAATTGTGAAAAAGGAACAAAATAGGAAAATTTTTTTGAAACTAAGCAGTTGTGGAAATGAGATAGCTTATGAAACTGACTCTGAGGAGATTAAACTCGAAAAGGTCAAGTTGAGATCTACAATATAGAAAAAAAGATCAAGATGTGTAAAAGGTTAAAGATCCAGAGGTATTCGAGAATTGGGAGATTCAACATTTGTCGAATAGCAGCTTCAGAAAATGGGAACAGAAACATGGAGACAGTAGAGTCAAGGAAAATTTCTTGGACAGATGATTAAAATTGGAGCTTTCAGATAAGGCCTGTCGAGGGTGAAGCAGGAAAAAAAAAAGGAATCTAAGAAAAAACAATCAGAAAAATAGATTACCTATGGAGCATTAGGTATCTCAAGAAAAATTCCAGATAATAAGTGGTAAAATTGTATTGTCTTGAAAGCTTTTCTGTGTGTTGGTGGTGTGTATGGGATGGGTGGGTCCCAGTTTTATAAATAAAGGAGTTACGGAATTTCAAGTAAATGCTTCTTCAAAACAAGTAGGTTTTTTTCTTTAAAAATCAAATCAAAATTAGACTCCTTAAAAAAAAAACACTGTTGGGGCCTCCCTGGTGGCGCAGCGGTTGAGCGCTGGGTTGCGAAGCTGCCCGCAGCCTCTGCAACGCCGGTTCGATTCCCAGCTGCTCCCGGCCACCAGAGGAGGGTCCCACATGGCGCGCAGACCTCTCCTGCCGCCCGCTGCTCCCCTCAGCAGTGTACTTCGGTCCTCTGCCTGCTCTGCTCCCCTCTCTGGCTCTGGTGAATTCTCTCACCCTCCTGCGCTTCTGACTGTACCCAGTGCATGTATAAACAAAAAAAAAAAATGAACAAACAAACAAATAAATAAATAAAACATGCCTCTATTTAAAAAAAAACAAACAAAAAAACACTGTTGGGCCTCCCTGGTGGTGTAAGGTGTTGGGCACCACACTATGGGGGTGATCCGCAGCCTCTGCAGCACAAGTTCTGTCCCTGGCTGGCCAGGGAGCAACTCACATGGCACAGCAGGCCTCTCCTGATGCCCTGCTGCCTCCCTCAGCAGTGTACTTCTGTCAATCTGCCTGTTCTGTTTCCAACTCTGTCTCTGGTGAATCCTCTCACCCCCCACCCCCATCTCTGGCCTGTACCCCAACTCTTGTATGCATAAATTTTTTTTTAAAGATTTATTTATACAAGCACTAGGTACAGTCAGCAGCACGGGAGGGCGAGATAACTCACCAGAGCAGGGAACAGAACAGGCAGACCGACGAAATACACTGCTGAGGGGAAAGCGGGCTTGGCAGGGGAGGTCTGCGCACCATGTAGGACCCTCCCCTGAGGCCGGGGATCGAAATGGCGCCACAGAGGCCGCGGGCAGCCTCGCAGCCCAGCGCTCAACCGCTGCGCCATCGGGGAGGCCCCATAAATCTTTAAAATAAAACCACCGTTTCAAGAACATCAAGATGTGGGGGTTCTCAGTTTTCTTTTTAATTATTGAACATCAATTCTAAACCTATAAATTGTAAACCTAGTTGTTATTAAGGACAAAAATAAATGCATTTCTTGCTTTCATCCAGCTTTTCTGAAAAAGTTAATAAAGAAATCCATCCAAGGAAAACCTAAATCTAAGAAATAACTATCAATAGTTACCAAAAAAAACCCACCTAACCCAACAATATAAACAAGTGCATCGAGAAGAATCCTGCAGTAGAGCCTTGCAGCACACTTACAGTGGTGGGTTCTCTGGGAAAACATCTTCAAGAAGAAAATAAATACTGTGACTCCAGCGTGTTCCAGATGAGATGAAAGCATGGGGTTTTGCTCAATGCTATTAAACAGGTAAACAGACACTCAGGAAAAACAAAAGCTCCACAGGAATGACATGACTCTTACAAAAGGAAGGTACAAATAGCATTACTTTAAGCAATTGATAAAATAGTAAAAACAGTTTCTGAAACAACCAGGTAAAAAACCTTGCAGTTCAGAAGGAAGAAGGACTATTGATATGATATGCTGAACTCAAGTATACTTCTCTGGATTTATAATAACGATTTTTCTGTCTTGATTTTTAATTTTACTTACAGATAAGCCTTTCCTTATTGACTGGTACTAAAGATCATCCTAAAGTAGGTTTAGAATTTAATCTTTGTCCTTTAATGGTATCTTTTGACTTACTTGATAAAGTTGATTTGATTTTACCACCTAGAAACTTAAAATGTTCCCTTTAAGAAACATGTTGAACAATTAAAAAAGGACAACTAATGAGAACCTTACTTAATATTCTTGAAATCGTACCTTTTTTTTTTTTTAAAGGAGTCTAATTTTGAATCCATGTTTAAAGGGAAAAAACCTAACTTGGTTTGAAGAAACATATACCTGAAGTTCTGTAACTCCTTTAGATTTAGTTTGTTTTCTTCTGTTAAAAATGACATTAAACATACAAACACAAAAGTGTAGATCTATTGAATCCTAAATTTTGGGGTGAGCCTGGTCTCATGAATTTTGAAAACACGTGATTTTAAGCACTGATTTAAAAGTGCTTACAGCCAGTTTTCATGGCAGAGAAAAAGAGGAACAAGAGTGAGTAGACTTGACACTAATTGCGAACAGTTGCCCATTTTCCTTCGTGTGACTTTGGCTCACTGGGATTGCAGGGGTTGGGAGTTCAGGAGTTCACGGGCGAGGGGTGAAGTACAGCAAGGCTGCAAGCCGGTTTTCCCGAGGAAGCCTGCCTGCTGCGCGGGGGCACAGGCGCTGAGCAGCGGCGGTCGTCTCTGGGCAGCTGGGCAGTTGCGACTCTTCCAGTTGGACCCCATCGAGCCCTCTGGCACAGGCATGCTCAGTCGAGAAGTCAGAGGCGTGAGAAAGGGAACTGCCTAGTGCAATCGGTCAGGGCTCCCCAGTCCCTCGAAATTTACGCGCGCATTGTCCAAAACCGCTCTTGAGCGCAATTTGGCAGACAAATCCCGCACAGATGTGACGGTCTGGAGCGGGAGCGCTCGAGTCCTCACTGAGAACAGGTACAAAGCCCTGCCCTCCCGTCCTCTCTAACCTTACACTGGGGAGCTGCCAATCTCTACCTTTAAAAAAACGTCAGAAATAATCCCGGTCTGATTTTTCTTCGATTTGTAGCCTCGGTCTAGTCCGCCGGTGCGTTTC